ACACAACTCTGCACAGTAAATTGCAGCACGTAAGTCCACTTGACATCCAGAGCCACTACCGATGAGTGAGTGAGTGAGTGAGTGAGTATGGTTTTACACCGCTTTTAGCAAAAGCAATATCACGTCGGGGGACACCACAAATGGGCTTCACACGTTGTACCCATGTTGGGAATCAAACCTGGGTCTTCGGGTGACGAGCGAACGCATTAACCACCAGGCTACCTGACCGCCCCTCAAATACTGATGGATGGCTGACATTGCTGATATAAGTAAGTGTGGTAGAGAATTTGAAATGAGAGAGATCAAAATCGTCTTTCAAATGTTACTTCTTGTAAAGATTTCCTAGGTCAAATGGAAAAGAACTTTGACTTTGTTGAATTAGAACATTAGATTTCAGCTCGATTATTTGAAGCAAGTCTGATAAGTGAAAGGTTATTTGTTTTATTTTCCAACCCAACATTTTGATCATGTTGAAACAAAACTACTTGACAACAATGATGGTTGAAATAAACATAAACTGATAAACATCATCTGGTCATTTGCAAACATACAGAACAGGTGCAGCCATTAAACAATAAAAATAGTGCTGCCTAATTAATACATTATGGCCTTGATGTCACACGTGGAAGACAACACAACCTGTAGGCTGTATACCTGATCACTGAACTCAGGCATATTCTGTGACCCCAAGGAGGCGCCAGCTCTAGAGTTCCCATAAGAAATCCTGGCTTCCCCTCAGTAGAATTAAACATGGTGCAACTGCCGGTTCGTCTGAACCTCCCTCCAAATCAGGAAAGAGAAGCCTTGGACTATTCAAACTTGACAGCATCACAAGCATTTTCTCTTTCATATATCAAAACAAACACTAATTCTAACACTGGAAGTCCTTATCACGCTTACCAGTATCCATATGTAGATATCATGATGATATGATGGTTATAAAAGAAAATCTATCACTGGTCAAATGTAAATTAGTCGGCTTTATTAGACAATTAGCACAATAAAACAAAAAACAAGGATCTTTAGTGTGAATACTGTATTCGACATAATAAGCGCCCAGGGCGCTCTCAAAATTAGAAATAGGGGGCTCTTATTAGAATATAATTTTGGTGAAAGAGTTGAAAGATCGTTAATTTCGTGGTTTCTGCCGACAGCCTGAAATGATACAAAAGAAAAGTCTGTGCGTAATATAGATGACAGATACATCTTTCCAGTATTTAATTGCATGTAATTTAGGCTGCATATAACACATGAGTGCGTATTATACACGAATATATAAGTCTTGTGCACACTGATCAGTTGGAAGGGTGCTAAATGGGATAACCACTAGCAAATATATCAGAAAATATCCCTGTGGTCGCTTATTATGTCGAATACAGTATTTTGTTTCATACTAATTAAACCTCAGTTGACAAAATTATCTGCACTTGAGAGTTCATATCTCTGAAATTGTCCATGCCCTTAGACATGTAGATCCACAACCCACGAAATATATAATTTGTTGATATCTTAAATCATAAATCAATGAAAGAATCAAAAGTTTATCATCTACTACCAACAGGACAGTTATGATCATGATGGTAGAAAAAAAAGAACAAGTATGGCACTCTTTCTATCCTTCCTGTAAACACTTCCTGGTAATGACAATGAACATGAGTGAGATGCTAATTCCTGCACAACAAATAACTGGCACTTGCAAAAGCTCATGACAGTCAAGCACTTTTCTGCAACTCTGATACGAACAATGAGACAAAATTATGAAAATATTGCAGAAAAAATATGAAAACCCTCAAAGCTGCAAGAACAATCAGGACCAAGCAGCATCCGTGTGAGACACATTGACTTGGGACCAGTATTGCAACACTATCACATGCAAAGTACTTCAACATATTAGAGGGAGTGTCTGTGGTGACTTGATAAAATATACATCTGACCCTGTCTAAAAGGAACTCTCTGATAGAGTTAATATAGCCTTGGTACTACAATACATCCGTTCGTGAGTTTGAAAGCTGCATGTGCCTTTGCCACAGCTAAAATGATTCAACACAGAAACAGATGTATTTAATACTAATTCCAGAGTGGTCAAATTATTTATCATTATCATTAAGTACATTACAGCAATACTTTATTGGGGCTTATTCAACAAAACACTCTTAGCCCTACAACCCTCGGAAGTGGTGGTTAATGCCTGAAGTTGTGCCTGTCGAAGAGCAGAGATTGCCCCACTGAATGCCTACATGCTGTAGGTACCTAGGTATTGTATATAAACTGTAGTTATCTGGGACAACCAATGGCATGGTGAAAATATACACCTATTTTCTTTGAGATACATGACAATATCCTAGAAACAGGTGCTTAGTGTGGTTTTAACAAGATGATTGCTTGGGGTTTTACTGGACCCAAAACATTGCTCCCAATATGCATTCAAATGGTGAATGGACAAAAATAATATACATTGCGAGTCCTTAGCATGCTTAGGGATGTAAAAAAGTTTGAGTTAAACAAAATTGTAGATTGCACTTCCATTTTGCTAAGAAATCCACTTATCGTTCAGTGTGTCAGTGCCATGTAGATTTTCTTAAATATAACATTGAAATCCCCATCAATAGAAAGGTACAGGCTTCGCTTCATGTGTACGGAAAGACATGATGAAACTTCTAAGAAATCAATTGCCACCAGACAGCCCGGCACTGTGATGTTCATGCCCTGGACACCCAAAATTATAACGGAGAGTCACATGGATTTGAAATAACACAGCCCAGTTAATGCCTGATTTCAAAACACATTGCAGTTGTACATACAAATTAACATCAAAAAGAAAAAAGGTGGGCAAGGAATCCACGTATTAACTTTGTTTTCTCAATACTGCATTCAACCACAATTCTGCAATGTCCACAACTGCAGTGAGATATTTGTTGGTGGTATATGCTGACATGCCATAAAGTTGACAGTCCATCAGTGACGCAGAGACAACACCAGTCACTATATCAATATTTCCAGAGGTTGACATATAATAAGCAATGATGGCACACTAGCAACTGAATATTAAACAATATTGAAAATATTTAACTATATGATATGCATGACAAAGATATTGAAAAAATTCTTACAGTTTCAAATATATGGGGTGCTGTGCAATCTATGGCACTGTAGATTAGATCTACTTATGAATCACATTGAAATGTTAATGTATAATTTCTTGGTAGTAAATAATCAATCATCATAGCTAAAGGTATTTGTGGTGCAAATCAATTTACATTTAACGAAAAGTAAAAGCTAACCTGTCATCATGTTTATTTGCCTCTATGTGAATTTGAGCGTGTTGAGTCTATATTTCTCAGCAGTGTCACGTTCAACAGGTGATGACTAACTGAAAATATTCTGTTACATAACCTGTTGTGTTTCCCCTGAACACAAAAACATACCAGCAGGCTTCATGGACATCCATCACAACATCAAGACAACGATGCTACAGGTTTCAGGCCAGTCACCAGTCAACACAGTAAACATGGACAGTCCATCTTCCATATGTACAGATTACAATCTCCTCAAAGGTGATACGGAAGTGGGTCACAAATGTGCAAATCATGCAACAATGCAAACTTTGAACCAATGCTTGCTCCCCTTCCGTCTGAATCCAATCGTCCGTCCTTGCATGTAGCGGTAGTAACAACGAATAACGACCCGCTGAATCAATGAACCTAACGCAACCCAGTTGTGTAGGTAACAAACATGGATACTTCATTCTTCCATAAGTAACAATATCTCCACACTGAAATGTTAGGAGTTTACCGTCTCAGACACAAGGTACACATCCTATCGAAAACATCAACAGTTACGGTATTCCATATCCTTCATGGACATCACAACAGAATGCCAACAAACCATTAACATACACCAGTTATTCCACAGGCTTTAGAGCAATCTGCAGTATAAGATGATCGTCAACAAGCAGGGGCGAGTCGGGCTGACACAGATCAGCAACTGTCACCTTCTTGTCCATCTCGGTGTCTGTGGTGTAGCGAGCCTTGGAAAAGTTCTTCTTCCCGGACACAGTATGGAGGATCTGATCCCGATCCACTATGGACAAGTAGTACTCGATCGGACGAGGCTGGTCTAGAATCAGATTGGAGTACAGCACAACTCGGAAGTCCTCGCACTGGGCTGAGTAACCTTTTGGGTGGACCTTCAGCTCCCATTCCCATGTCTGAGCTGGGAAGGAAGAAGCTCGGGTTGAGAATCGGAAACCCACTTCCGTGCCTTTGGGACAGGCGGAGTAATGGGAGACCTGAAGACGTTTGTCCCATCGGAGATCTGTGTAGTTCCGTAGCAGGAAACTGGAGCTCATGAATTCCTTGACGTTGGCTCGCTTTGTGAGAGGCAGGGCATGGAACTTGTAAGCCAGCATGAAGGCTTTCTGGAACAGCTCTGGGTGTTGCTGGTACAGGCTACTGGACTCTACCTCACATAGCTGTTCTGAAGTCATCATTGGGAAGCGGATGTACTCCATCACTTCAGTGAGATTACTAACCTGGGCCATGCGTTGTGGGTGGGCTTGGGACTGGATCCATTTCACGGTTGCCTCCCACAGCTCAAACTCATCCTTGGCGCTGAGATCAGAGCTTCGGAGGAACTCTATGAGCTGGTCCTTCTCAAGGTTGAGCCACTCGGCTTCCCACTCCTCCGAGCCAATAATCTCGTCCATCTTCTCGGCCAGTGCCTGGACGCATGCAGTGACGAGGCGCTGGTGGTAGCACTTAGTGGAGTATTGGAACCACACATGGAACACATCCTTTAGCTGCAGCTTGGGGATGATGTAGGATACTGCGAATGTGATACACACATCTCTGAGGTCTTCCACGTTGTATTTGTCGGCAAGGATGAGCACAGGGAGAGTGTTGTCGATGTTGAGCTTAATATGGCAGCCATAGAGAAACTTAAGAAACCTAGCGAACACAGTGTTACATATACTGTCCTCAACTAACTCCACATCCTGAAATATTATTGAAACAATCATTAAATAAAGCAATCATGCAGGCATATAACATTTGACTCAAGTTATTTATTGCATATTTTTAATATTAAAATTTGATCATTATTGTTGCATATCTACAAATGTTCAGGTGAGCTGTTGAGTCATATGTCTCTTATCGTTATATCAAGCTGTGCATATGGAATGACAAAGAGAAATGCTTTGAAGACATGCTTAAAGGTCAGCCAGGTTATTTGTTTTGAGTTATTGTTACTTTTAGGAATATTCCAGCAATATCACAGCAAGGAACACCTGAAATAGGCTTCACACATTGTACCAATGGGGATAGAACCCAGGCCTTCGGCACTAGCAAACGCTTTCACCACTAGCCCAACCTACTGTCCCAAAGCTGCTTTGAATAGTATTTCAGTTAATTTGTGAGCATCTCATCTTAATCATGTTAATGTGGGAGGAAAGTCTAAGTAATCATGGTAACATTGAAGTTATGTGTTTACGTTTTTGATGAAGAACAGTTATGGACCTGACAAACCAAGTATTCCAAGGGAATCTAGGATTTGAACTCAGGAACATAGAGTTCAGGTATGACAGATGGTTACAACAATGATGATTAGGAATTCTTACAGCTGAGGATTCAATATTGTCAAACATGTAAATTTAAAAAATGAACTAAACTCTTGAGGCCCTCATTTAAAAAAATGCAGCTTATTGCAACAAATAAATAGACAAATAAATTTACCGCAGGCCATAAGGACCCATCCAACTTTGAAAATAAGAGCCAGACATGAGATTTACCTGTCACGGACCCAGGGGCAGGTGCTTATTTCGAGCGCTGGCCTACAGTCTGGTAAATCAATGACCATGCCACCCAGAATTAACCCAAATTGAATCAGGCGAGTTAAGAATCCAATTGTCAAATAAAGAGTACCAGTACCAACCTTCTTTCCGGAACTGGACCACTCAGAACTAAACATCCTCTCGAAGACATCGCTGGCTCTGACGAGGACTATCTTGTGAGCATAGTATCTCTGTCCCCCAACTACCAAATTCACATCACTTAACAAGGAGTTGTTGAAGAACTTGCTCTGTTCTGCAAGAGCCTGTCTCTCATTGCCATAGCAATCAATGCCCTCTGGACTTTTCAGCGCCAGCGAAATGGAGGTAGGAGACAGCGCCATGGATTGTGTGTTGGGGGTGAAGGTCACCCGGGCGGAAGATGAGCGTGTGTTGTCGGTGGCGGCATCTGTTGGGGCATCAAACGGAAGATTCTGTAGGTTCGGGGGAGAAGCCATGGATCTTCTCCTGCTGAATAAAAGATGCAAATCTTTAGTCATCCCAAAAGCAAGAAATCACATATTGGATGTGTTTACAGTACAAACCTTTCAAAACTCAAGGGGACCTTAACCTGAAGTCTGGTCAGTCTACAAATGAAAGTAACTCTGCACTGTCGCATTGGGATGTCCTCAGATCTTTGTTTTGCGGTAACTTCTGTATCTATTTGTAATAAGGAATTCCCATGTGTTTCCCCAGGAAAGTGGAAGTAGTCCTTCATTATTTATGTCATTTCAAGAATACAGTCCCCTGAAAGACACGGATCCCAGAGTGTGTCATCCATACGCTTATGATCGTCAGTTTCACAGTCATCACAGTGACTGGTCCCTCATCCAATGGAAAACCTGTATATCGCGTAAACTTCATATGAAAAAATCGTATTGTATATCCCTAAATTAATATTTTGATATTAATATCAAGCTGCCCTACATTTTGGATCATTATAAAGTGTAAATAATTATTACAATAACTTCTTTGATAGGCATTTAGAAGTTGGAGTACTAAGGATAAGATTTTATGGATTAACAACTTCTTTATTACAATTAAGAGTGCCGTTTTGGTGTAGGTTCACTTGCTTGATAACGGTGTTAGAACCTTCACCGAAACCGTCCTCTTAATTGTAATAAAGAAGTTGTTCATACATAAATTCTTATCCTTAATTATTACAATGACTGAAATACTTCTACCACTAAAGTGACACATTGGAATAAAAAATAAATATCATATTTCAAGCAATGAAATAGATCAACACACAGTCTGCTCTCTTTTCCGTTCTGACTTCTAAATGGTATTACCTCAAATGTTAATAATGTCAGTATTTCAAACATGAACACAATCAATGCAAAAAAGAATAAGCTGGCAAAAACATCAACAATCGAATACCAAAATGTTAATGCCAAAAACTGTACAAAACAAATCTCACCCATAGCCAAGTTGGCAGGAACTAGCAGATAGCCATGTCCCTGACTAAATGCAACCCTACAGCACAGAATATCTGTCGTGTTTGTTAGGCTGGTGGCCATTGGTGTACAGGTGGAAATCTAGTGGATTTCATTACATAAACACAGTAGAGACCACACCTGAAGCAAGGTATGGGCTGAATGTCAAGTAAATACACATTGAATGGGATGTGACATTATAGAGAGCGTCCACCAGTTGAGAGTACAATGCTAGACTGGACACGCCCACCCAGGACGACTTTGTCAACAGGGGCAAACAGTGTCTGTCTGTAAAGGGGAGACACCAAGGTGATAGTCAAACAGGATCTGTTTCTTCATATCACGCACACATTAAAAATATGTCAATAAAATAATCAAGTCCCTGTCACTGGACTTGGTTGATAGCTATTTAAATTCTATCACTGTTCATTGCAGATGAAATATCAACTGGACATGTCTAAGTATTGTTTTGTCTGTTTTATAATCAGAAAGGAAACTGCTCAACAAAAATTTCACTATGAAAATATTTCACTGTCAGCATTGTCTAGACAATTATACCCAAAAATCTAAATTAGGTTTTACTTTTGATAACTACACTAAAATCTTATCAACCCCTGTAAATTACAGACTTTTATTTTAACTACTTGCAGTTAGACATTACTGAAGTCTCACATATCGATCTGTCTGCACCTCAGGGTAATGAAATTGCACTTGCAGTAAACGCCACTGTCACTGGATAGATCTAAAATTAGATTCCCTAATAACTGAACAACAATAGACATTTCTGGATGCTTGGTTGTGTCGTCCATTCCAAAATTGGCTCAGCTTTATTACATGAAACTTAGCTGTCGTCGTTATACCTACCAGTGTGAGTCCTACTTGCAGACAAAACGATTCGTGTGACAATATAGCAGGAGCATTTTCGTTCACACCAGACACCAACGAGTCTCAATCTTTGTTTACATCGCTTCCGGATATATTGACTACGCATGCGCGGATATCAGCTGGTTTTGACGTAAACATTTCATTGATAAATTTGTCACGCGCATCGAAGGGGTGAAAATGAAAGACACCCAGCCGGGAATTTAAATTTGCGTCTATCTAACGACGCTTAGGCAATAAAGAAACTTTAAAGAGGCCAAGCCATAATTTTGGCTAGATCTATTTAAAAGCTGCTTCACATCAGTGAAATCGAAATATTTGAATTCAGAGTTATTTAGACATTGTTTTTGAGCTACAACAGCCGCGAGAGTGACGAGTATGCTAATCTGTGTCTGACGATGATATTGATGATGACCGCATCATCCCGAAAGAAAATATTTATTTGTAAGTACTTCTTTCGCAAATCATATTGGTAGGGTTATATCAAATTATATGATCTTCGAAATACCGAACACTTGCTATTTAGCCTAGAAAAGATTTGGGTGGTTGGTTTGTTGTTTAACGCCGCACTCAGCAATATTCCAGCTATATGACTGCGGTTTGTAAATAATCGAGTCTGCACCAGACGATCCAGTGATTAATATCACGAGCGTCGGTCCACACAATTGGGACCGATGACATGTACATCAACCAATTCAGCCAGCCTGACCACCCGATCCCGTTACTCGCCTCCTACGACAAGCATAGTCGCCGTTTACGGCAGGCATCGGTTGCTGAAGACCTATTCTACCCCGGATCTTCACGGGTCCCTAGAATAGCTAGTTGCTGAGATAATATACCTAGAATAAGTATTTGCTAAGATTATATTTATTGCAGAAAACGTTTCATTACGGAACAAATGCAATATTTATATGTCAAAACATTTTGGTTCTACATTCTCCCCTGGCTCTGAACCTCCGATCTCACTGAGCCGGAACGGCTGCTTATAGTTATTTTATTGTTTCTATCAAAATGATATATGTTGAGATACTATAAGCATGGGTTTATGAAAGCTGCATCAGTGCTTGTTTCCAACTGGCAGAAGTCTGGTGGCCGACTGCCTAAGTCGGGTGCCATCATTACCACGTCCGAATGTATCATACTATATATTACCTTTATATGTATATATATCTTTCATTGCGCTTATGTAGAGTATGAAAATAAGAAAAATTTTACAGACAGCTGCTTAATTGTTTGTAACCACGTATCATGGCTGCATTTCTACCACGCCCATAGTGACACTAGAGATGGACCTGGTCATCCATTAAAAGGTTCTTATTTTCTTTTTTTACCAACACAAAATTGCATATGATCGACTTTTAAAGTGCGCTGAGGTTAAGAATTCTATAGGTGAAAAATATATCCTGGACCGCATTTGTACTTATATGCTTTTACTTATTAATTGCCTTACATAGAAATATTAACGTTTGAAGTTATGTTAAATAAACCTATAAACGTCCACCTACCATCCTCTGTTTCGCCATGCTGTTTCCATGATGATTCGTTATGGATTCTGATTGAACCACTCAAACTCGTCTCCTCTCACAACAATGTCCTCACATACATTTGACTGAACATGATGACCTCAGTTTTATCAGATCCCAAGAGACACCCCTCCCCTCCTGAAATACATGTGCATGTGCTAATTACTTTATTCTACCATGTGTTTCTCATCCCCATCCCCAACCCTCCTCCCTGCCTCCCCCTCCCTACGTATATCGAGTTCCGAGCGTTCGCTGTCATTTTAACACATTTGCGAATCCACATCGCCTACATTTATCGGTAACGGTCCGTGATGTTAATTGTCAACACCTACATATGTTGTTTTATGGCCTATTTCCGTACATAGTTATGCAATATTAAGAATAATCCGCAATGGACACGTGCAGACTATTTATATTGGAGAGGTTTGATTGAAGTGTAGACTGCGAGGAAAGCACGTGGGTGGCGACATGCACGGGAGGGGGTGGGGTACACAGGACATGTGTCTCCACATCTGGTAGGGTTGACTCTTTGTGGAGACAGGGATGCATACGTTACTCCAAGTCTGTCTTATAGTCCCCGAACATTATATTTTCCTTTCCGCCCAGGCCTTACCGTAATGTCTAGAGCCCTAAACGAAGCAAGTTCAGATCTCCCACAGGTTCTGAATCTCCCATCTGACGGGGGCTCCTTTTCAATTCAAATGTACTTGCTTGATTTTTCGAAATTTTCTTTTTTTAAGAGACTCAGCATTAATTTAACGTTACTCTTTGTATATTTGCTTTTTGCATGAATATACACATATCCTGTGAAGACACATTTTATAAATGGCAACATTATGTTAAACAAATTAACTTGAATAAAAGTATAAAAGAATCATATTAATTAACAAAGTCAAAACGAGATAAACACAGGAGTGGGTTCGGACCTGGAACGTTAGTCCCGAGTCCATACAGCCTACAAACATTGAAACGACATACCACATACAAACAATACCAAACATATAATGAACTAATATAATATATAGCATAAAAACAGTGATACCACACATAGCATATATATTAACTAATAACATATATACAGCATGTAATCATTGATACCATATATGGCATATAATCAACTAAATACCAAATAAAGCCTATAAACAACTCATGTCATAATTATAAAAAAACAACTAATACCATATATAGTTAGTTTGTTGTTTAATGCCGCACTCAGCAATATTCCAACTGTATGACGTCGGTCTGTAAATAATCGAGTCTGGACCAGACAATCCAGTGATTGACATAACCAAGTCAGCGAGTCTGACCACCCGATCCCGCTAGTCGCTCTTACGACACGCATAGTCGCCTTTTAATACCACATATGACTTATAAACAACTTATATATATGATAATTGTTGTGTATAGCCTGTATGTAGTTTCAGTTGTTAACATGATATCAGTTGTTTATAGGCTATATGTGTTATTAGTTTTGTATATGCTATTTGTGATATCAGTTCTTCGTAACGTATGTATGTTGTGGTATCACTTGTTTATAGGCTATAAATGGTACCACTAAAAACTGTTGTGTATAGGATACATGTGGTATCACGTTTTGTAGGCTATATATGACGGTATCTTGCACTTTCAGTACAGCACTCACGACACGTATGCGCAACAATAGAAAACTACTTAAGCATGCGGTGTCATCCGTCGGGTCACGTGAAAATGCTCACATAATATTGATTTCAAGTACATAATACATCGATTTAGACCAAGGATATTAGCATTTAAACATTGACACAACATAAAGCATATAAACAGCTAACAGCACATGTAGACTGTAAATAACTTATACCACACATTAACAAGAAATGTGATACATATCATCACTGATTTAAGAACCCGTGAAGATCCAGGGTAGAATAGGTCTTCAGCAACCCATGCTTGCCGTAAACGGCAACTCTGCTTGTCGTAAGGTGTGACTAACGGGATCGGGTGGTCAGGCTCGCTGACTTGGTTGATGCATGTCATCGTATCCCAATTGTGTGGATCGATGCTCATGATGTCAATCACTGGATTGATTGGTCCAGACTCGAAAATTACAGACCGCCGTCATATAGCTGGCATCTTGCTGAGTGCGGCGTTAACAATAAACAAACAAACAACACTGATTTAAGAAATAAACGACTCGTGAGATATCATGTACAGCCTCCTTTTGGATAAAATGTACAAACTTTGAAAATATTACCTTATTTAAACAATAATGATCCCTGTATACAATCCGATCTCGGAAATATCGGACAAGTCCATTTTATGAACAAGGGGGTTAGTTTGGTATTTTTCGGATATTCTCATAATATTCACGTCGATAATCTGTACCCTTTTTCCTAATACTTATTGTCATATTTCTCCCACTTTTGGATGAGATCGTTCGGCCATTGCGTTTATCTGTGTTGCCCAATTACATCTTTGGGGAACAACTTGCTAAACACTTCCCTCACAAAAATAATGTCGTCCAATTTACGACGTCATCAAGTTGCGAGCGCATTTTCGAATCTCCAGAAATGACGTCATGATAGAACAATGTTTTATCGTGAAATACACCACACTTCGTTCTTCATTATTTTTTGCGATTTATCGCGTAGCTATCTTTTATTTACAAATATCAACGTCATAGAACGTTAGAATAGGATGAGGTAACAAAGAAGAAACGTGACGCCAATGACGCCACTTAGCATTAGAATAAATATAGCAGCCCGTCGTCAGGGAAAAGCGGACTGCTATCAGGTTACAGTGGCCCGCAGATTTGTGATAACATGCGGGCATTTTAATGATAATGCTATCCATTTTGATACAATATTTGTTTAAACGTTCCCATTTAGTGCATTATATATATTCCATTGTTAACGTTGTACAACGTGTTTACATTAAAGCGTTGTATCGGAAACGTAGAATCAAGAATCATGAATTTTTATTGTACAGAACACCCTCGTAGGGCAGGGTACAAACTATCTACATATGGACATAAATATAACTATAGACATGAGAGGTAGATATACACAAAGTACATTATATATAGAGGTATTACATGTTATTTTCATTTACAGTATATAAACATTTATGTACATCATGAGGTGGCTGGCAGCGTGCACTTAATGGTAACACTGTATTGATAGACTAGATTTTCTTCTTTTTTTTTTCTTTCTTTTTTTTTATCGTACAAAAAAACCCACTTGGGACCTGGTACAAAAATAGAGCATTAATATGGCACAGAGATGAGAACATGGTATATATATACACAGCATACGTGCATGAATTTATCTTATCTAATTAGGGCCCTTATGTTGGTCTCAGCTTCAACATGCGAAATACAGTCCTGGCAACAAGACTTGAACAGTCTTTTGGAGCGTTCTTAAATTGTTTTAGGAACTTGGTTTTATCAGTCTGGGAAGGGTCGCCTATTTCTGTCAGTGTGATGAGATTTCTCCCGAGGTCTGTACACAGTGGGCATGAGAGCAGGAAGTGTTCCTCATCCTCTACGGAATGGCAGTCACAACCTATTTTCAACTGGAGTGTTGGAGTATCTTCCCC